TAGCTACAGTGTGGTCTAAAGGCAGGTTAACTAGGATTGTTGGGACGTAAAATGTAAGTAATGTTCAGTGACAGATAGAGTGTGGTCATCATGAATCGAGTTACGTAACAAAGTTATAAGTCACCGAAAAAAGCTTATCATTCATAATTCCCATCGCCTCAAAATACACCTAGAGTATTTACAATCAGCATGGAGGCGTAATTAAAGGGTTTAATTGTTATCTGAAGAGGGGTAATTATCACCCTTTGATTACTGCAATCAGACACTTCACCCGCGGGGAGGTTTAATTAGATAAAAAGATGTCGTTGCTGTAGCAATCAGCAGTTCGGAAACTTCTTAGTTTTCCAATTGCTCAGTGCTGCCATCTTTCAATAATTAAAACTTAATTCCATCGGCTATTAAAATGTCAAAGCCGAATGTCAACAAAATGATTTCAAAATCAAATTGAATCCAAGTAAACTAGATTATAGTAACTTTGAATGAATTTTAAATGTGAAAATCGCTCCGCTCGCTCGTTTTTTATTCTTACTTTAGCTTTTAGTAGAATAGCTGCAACGCCTTTTAACATTATGTACTGTAGATTTGCACACCAAGCCAATCTGTTGTCTATTCTTCTAAGGTAAGGGAGTACAAGGGGCATCCAAAGAACAACAATATCAAGAACCCCCCCCCCTTTCCTATCCATGACACCTTCTATTTGGGACTATGTGCTGGCCACAAGAGCTTGACGCAAGGCCAGTAATATCTTGAAAAGTATTATCCGATCCATCCTTGATTATAACTTTTTGATATTCTCTGAAAGGACTTGCTTGATTGACAGCCAGACGTAATTACCCAGTGACCTTAACGAATGGAATACAAATTTTGACATAAAAACAGAGAGATGGTCCATAGTGGCCTCAATTCTTCAACGTATTCTCATTCGATCAAAACCTGATTCAATATGTCAATAATATTACCGAAGCAAGATGAAAAAGAAAATAAGTTTGCGCTTTTATTATCAAACAGCGATCCTTAGAGAATAATGAAGTTTCTTAAGCTCCCAAAACTAGCGACCAAATGTTTCCCTAAAATAATGTAATTTGCCGGCCCACTGGGTTGTCACAAAAACTGATCATCATTGCCGAGTGTACTAATCCCATGTAGAACCTAACGACGTCTCCCATTGGTCGAGACGGATTCTAAAGCCCTTTACGACCCCATGTCCTATAACTTCATTAGCTCAACCGTCAGTTTTGCCACCTCTAAAATGTGGTGGGGGCTCAATCGTATGGTAATTATGGCAGTTTTTGACGTGGAAACTAATTTAGGTTTCCACCTCATTATCGCGGCTTTATTGTTTTTCTTTAAGAAATCACATTGCCATATCGATGTCAATTAATTGGCGTTCGGGTCTGTTGTTTTTGCTCGTTTAGCCTCTTCTCGTCGTAATTTAACAAAGATATACATGTGTAAATGTGTTAGGATTCTATTAAACATGTACGAATTTCAATCTGCTGTTTTCAGTCGTTTAATTAATGATAATCAGGTGTACAGAGGCGTGTAAGCAGAAAATTTACTGGATAAATGGTACAACGTTCCGAACAGGGATGTCATAGGGAACTACGCGTATATGCGATGACCTTGCCGTTACGTCGTCGTGTATTGTGTTACATTAATCCGCTGTTACGGGGACTCATATCTGGTGGGGTTCTCAGATGGCATGGGAAAATTACGATTTTTACCCCACCCCCATATCATTATTAAACTAATTGGAACATTTAGATTTCAGGCGGGTTTCGATTCACATTGCGCCTGCTCTGTAGTTTCATGTGAAATGCTATCAGCTCCGGATTGGCTGGAAACAAGTTTGTTTGCGCTCATTTCAAAAAATGCAAGCTGTCAGTTCAGATAACAGATTATTTAGATTGCAACTAAGTACTTTTCCAGACAATTTTGATTTCTTGATATTCCCAGACTGTCAAGAAGCAATCAATTCACCTCGTTGTGCAGTTTATCTTGCACGCTGACAACTGAGAAGGGACGAAGAAAGAAAAATGCCACCCCCAAATTCAGTATGTTGTTCCCCGTAAATAGAACCCACTCTGGGTCACCTTAATCCAACTCTGTGTTTTCACAAATATTCTCTCAAAAGTTCTGGGATTTCCTTAATGGCACTCTATATATATTTACACTACGCCAAATTTTGATTTTTGGCAAGTCACCTTTACTACAAATTAATTAGTTTATAAATATGACTCCCGCGGAATTTCATCCACGAGTCTATACTTTGAAAGTGATGTTAACACGAACTAGAACAACTTCGGTGTCGTGAAATAGCAAGATCCAAGAAGATACTTTACACATGCAACCACTTTAAATCTCATTAAAAAGTGCGAATGGGAATGTAAGTGAACTGCTTCGGAGAACGCTTTCAAGTTGCGAGAGTTATGTACTGAGTTGAGTAATTCAAAACGCCATCAAACGCCGGGCTCGTATTGCCAGCAATTAAATCCCGGGGCAATCTATGCTATTAAGATAATATTAACACTATAGATATGGGCCAAATCAGACCCATCTTACTGCAATATACGACTTCTAATTACTACATGATTACAGTTTTCTCGCCTCCAACCACAAAAATGTTCGCTAATTATAAGAATTTCAAAATTTGTCAACTTTCCCAGACTGTTCGGCCATTATTGTCTTATCTAACAGACAACCACGGACATAGGCAAAACTACAATGTTACAATCTTGCAAATCAATAGGCTAATTGTCCAACAAAATATGATAATACTTGATTCAAGCAAAAAACTCTATTTTAGATATATTATAGGTACAGTAATAAATGAAAATTTGTAGAATGCATCAAAATATAGCAACATATTTCGGGTCCCTAATTCATCATTTTTACAACTACTCGTATCGATACATCAAAATTGCGCAACGTAAAATATGAGACGGAACGTCTGCAAATTACTAGGACAAAGTATTACTGAAAGTATTTTCTTTCTTTAATTCAAATACGCCAAGTAACTTCAACTAAAATTCTGGAACTATAATACAATTACATCTTATATAGTTAATAATTACAAGAACATCTTCAAAACATATTCTTCATCCTCGTTGATTCCTCAATTTTTCGTACTTTGCGGTCAAAACACGAACGGTGAAATATTTTATTTACATGTGTGTTCCTCTGCTCGATGCTTTGATCTTGAAGTAATGATGAAGATGTCTTCGAATAGCAGAAACACACCATATTATTCCCCGTTTTTAAAATTAAACACGGTCATATTTTTAAAATCAAAATTAGGTATCACAAAATGGTACTACCATTATTTGAAAACAACATTGAGTGAAACACGTACTTTTTTGCATGGTGTTACCAAGTTCACGTACCAATTCACATTTTAGTAACAATATTGGATGAAACTGCATGATTCGATTGCTATTTTATGCATTGGGCTGGTTACAAGTGAAAATGACCCGATGAAAAATGACCAAAGTATGTCGCGTAATAGAGATACTTCAACGACCTTTGCTGTTGGCCTCTAATTAGGAAAACCATCATTTAGTAACGTCTCTTGCTTCCCTTGGGCCCACCTCCGAATCACAACTTTCAGAACTTGAAACTATTGATTACAGTATCCGATTCAATATAGACATAATATGGAAGATTTCACATTTTAATTATATTAGGGAGATCCAATTTTGTCCATTTTGGAAATATCATCTTTTTAAATTATCCAATTTGATAATTACAAGTTAGAAAGCTTAACCCATTTTGGTTTGCAAAGGTTCAATTATTATACCACCTTAAACGCGTATTTAAGCAAACATTTGGTTTTCTACCAGAGCCAATTTATACATTTGCAATTTTGAATTCCATTTAGAGAAACCAACTTCTTGATATTAGAGTAATGATGTTGTTTGAAGTATTCACCTACTATGGTTCTCTATCTCCGACTACAGATACACCCCACAATAAGTTTGGTAATTGGAAATCCCTCTCCAAGCACTTACAAAAACCTGTTTATTTTTGGCGATGTACAAAAATCATCAAACTCGTAAATTTCCGAACTATTGTATTTAGGAATAGAATTAAGATTCAGATATTAACGGTCGTTGGTATGGTATCCTATGAAAACTTCAGTTTGTCAAACGTATTGAAGGGAGTGTACTTAAGACGGCATACCATAATTTTATTAGCTAAAGTGTGTAATTTGGTGTGAAAATAACGAGCATCAATACTTCTCAATGATTGCATTAACTAAAACAATTATTTCATGCAATTACGAAGGGATTAAATACGAATCCTAGAGAGACCGCGTAAAGAACACCGCGAGATTAAAGTACTTCTGATTTAAAAACCAATTCAAGTAGTTTAACCCTAATGATACCACGTTGTTTCCAATTTATAAGCTCAAACCCTTGAGGTGGATCAAGACGCAAACGATTATCAAGGAGTTTTTGTGCAACATTGACGTAAGGCTCATTTTGGACAATGCTAACACAGTTGTCAAATTAATGGCGTTGTCATTTCGTTTTATCCTTTATGATATTGCGTGTGTGTATGATAAATTGAAATACCCAAAACGTTATTCCGTGGTTTTGTATCCTTGTACAAGAATTAGACTTTGAACTTTTCCTAACCAAACTTTAGCTATCATATTTTCTTTGATTGACCCAAAGGGTGTAACATAACCTCTTTGTCTAATTAAGAAATCATTCCAGTGAAATGAACTCCTTGTAATTTGCAATATGTTAGAGCAACTTAAAATTCAATTGAGTCGAACACGATCAAAGTCAATCTGAAAAACTTCAACTTTTCCGCTCGATTTCCTTACACGACATATCTCAATTTATTTTTGATCATATAGATAATTTAAACAATTTTATTTTCCGTTTTGTGGATTCATTCAATGAAATTCGTAGAATCCCTCACACGTTAACTGTCAAATGCATCGTGGAAATTAAAAAAGGCAACCAAATCATATATTTTTAATTTCTTGTTTTAGCAGGGAAATCCCCCGAGAGTAGAGATGTTTCTCCTAGCAGTGGCCCAGAGCGATTGCAGGGAGGGGGTGTCTCCCAGAGTGAAACCTACAACACCAATCCTCAGGTAACGACACTAACAGTTCAACTCCCCACCAGTTTGAATGACCCTATCAATCTGAAAACTAGCATCCACGCAGAACACAATGTAGTTGACTCAAACAATGGCGCAAATGAGGAGATCTCAGAAACGGAGGCCGCAACTCAGTCTCTAGAGGCAGCTAATGAAGCTCTGATCCATGATCTCTCACAAGTAACAAGCGTGGCCATCTCGAACCCTATGTTGGCGTCATCCCCGGGGCCACGGCCTGTTCCCGTCCTTACCCAGCCAATTAGCCCCCCTGTCGCCACATCATCCCCATTGCCAACCCCTCCCAGCAGCAGCCCAATGTTGACCATACCAACCCCTGTACTGATATCCCCTGACACGGGGCTAACGACGTCCCTTCCACCTCAACAACAGATCATCTTCTCCCCGATGTTGACCGACCAAAGCTCGGGACTGACGTCGACTCCGGCCAGTATTAAAGAAGAAATGACGATTCAACAGAGTACGATGGCGCAATACGTGAACGCCCAATATAGCGAGCACCAGTCCCTGCCGTCAACCCCCACCACGCCCATAACACAGCACACCATGTGGACAGAATGGCAACTCAAGCCTGGACAGCAATCTATCTCAAATGTCCAAGAACCACAGCATCAAAACGTATTCAAGAAAAGTGAGTATAGCGCTATACTAGTATATGGAATCTGCATTCTTAATTTGAAAATATTCCAGAAGGCAATCAAAAATGCAAAGTTTAGCTGAAAACGCGGCATGAGTATAAAATACCAAAAAAACAGCCTTAAATGGCATTACATAAGCAAGAATTTTTATAATCCGAACTAGATAGTGATACACAATGAAATAATCAATCAGATCTGCTATTTTATGATTATGATTTATAAAACTAAGTGTAAGCTGTCATATACGTTATAAATGAAGTCATCCTCTGGAGACTACCTTCCGGGGTCTGATATATATCCCCGTTACTAATTCCATCCCGCCGTCGCTAAGCACACAACCTAGTCTTCTAAAATACGTTTAACCGGACGTAACGTTCCGAGACGTGGGCACGTTTTCCGCGGTAATGGAACAATAAAAACTGGTGTGTTTAACATCAAATCCAACGTAGATTTAATCTTTATCCACCTAAAGGGCGACTCTTGACGGCACCCATTTCCTAAATATGGAATTGTCTAACAAACCGTAACCATAATCACGGAACTATTAAACTAAAAGCCTTCACTAGAAATTAATTATGACAGTTTTAACTTTGTTAATAACTAAACAAGAGCCGGTGTTGACATCCGGGGCCACTTTGGACGAACTCACAATCCTTGATAGTTGGGACTTATTCCGTTGAGAGGCTACAGAAGACGAGTATGCGCATGATTATCATGTTTGGGGTTAGGGAACGTGATTAGACTATATCAGTTTCACTATTTACATGATTATTTCTTCAGAGCTAAAAGACTCAGACACTAGCATTTCAGCCACTTGTATCAAATACCAAAGGTCGACCAAAACGTGCGATTGAATATTCTGAGAGCGGGGTTTACCTCTAAGTCGACGTCATCGTGTATTCCTAACAGATCTGCTGACTTTTCCTCAATGGGGTTTTAATTGCAACGTTTCAAGCGCTGATTCTCACTGGCTCTTGGAGATCAACATATGTAGGGATTAAACTTCGTGTTTGTTTTTATAAGTGAAGTGCTTGCTACAAACGGTGTCCATATCATTCTGCAAGTGTTTGAAGACTAACCAAGACAACACAAAATAAATTAATCCGTTCGATAGGCCTATTAGTATTGGAAAAAATAACTTTTGGAGGGACACCATTATCGATACGCTATTAATTAATAATCGGAAAAACATGGATATGATGTATATTTCTGCGGATCAATTTACTTACCAGTACCCTACCGGAGCCTTCAAGTGTGATTTCATGAAGACAGAGTTCCAGCAATGCAGCTATGACCCCTGCATGGGGGTGTACGGGGATATCCCAGGGACTGAAAACATTTCCCCGGCATTTGCGTACGCAGCTGCCTGCGCTCGTCCCGGGAGAGGCGGTCGAGCAAAAGGTATCAACGTATATTAAGTTTCTTTAAAGAAGTAATTAATATTATGAAGAATATTTGTTTTTTAACCATGTCGAACCAATAACTAATTAAAAATTCCATGTCGAACCAATAACTAATTAAAAATTGATTGATCGTCGTGTAAATGACTCTCTACGTATTGATTTGATTCATTGTGTATCAAGTGTCTTTTGTAAAGTCAACAAAAAACGAACACTGATTGGTAACTAAATGCATGCGATTTGGCTATTTAAAAACAATTATAATTGTTTGAACGTTGATGTGATGAAACAAATACTGGATAAAACATATAATTTAAATTGCTCGGATTAGTTTCATGTGGTTAGGGTATGATTCCAGACGCAGTATTGTACATGGTTCTTCAACCAGTCTCCTTAGGCAAATCTTTATTTGATTTTATACGAAAATAAGTGTATGTTTTGATACAAGAAGTAACTAGCAACAGTCTGCAAGTGTTTTTGTTGATTGTCTTGGTAACGTCTGAAACTGTCAATAAATTTTATTAGCGCCGAACCTGAGGCTGAATTCAAAGAGAAATTCGTAGTTAAAACGACATGGGGTGCATTTGGCCTGGGGCGCCCCGTTTGTGTTTCTGACTGGTTAAATGATAGACGGGCATTTAAATCCAGATTTTTGGTGATCTTTCGCGAAATGTGTTCTCAACGCTCAGATATTTTACAGCGGGATAAGTGAACTCTGGCGATTCTAGTAATAATTCTATCCTCTAATAGTGTATTGTTACAAATTGGGCACGCCCTCTCGTGACTGTTGAACGCATAAAACAATGCATTCCTCTATATACAAACAACGTTCTAGTAGTTGATTTTATCAGAATTACGGATCTTTTTGAGGACCACTTGATCGAACTCGTGACAAATTCGAATTGATCAACAGGGCGAACTAGAATGGAATTAGCATTTTTTCTACTACTAACTCGCTCGAGCGTTTTGTTTACATTTGGACGCATTACGACCCTCGATTGTGACCCACTCTAGCGACCAGTGAACCCGATCACGGGTGTTCAATACCCGATCTTATGGAGAATACGAACCAATCAACTTCCATATTCGCTAGTTTAATCAGCTGTATAGGGTTCTCAATAACATACACTCGTCAATTTTATCATTACTAAAATTTCAATAAAAATGAGTTATCTGATTTCTGACTTGTGTTTGATATCGTCTCATTAGAAAATTAATAGTTAAATTTAATGCACACGGAGACAGGCTAATGTTCTCAACAATCGGGTGATTTTACTTCTTAAATAAGATTAATCAGCGTGTTCTTTATCAAAGTTAGCGTATTAAAATTGCAACAAATTGCCGAACGTGAGAGCGTGACCAATTCTTAGTTCCATCCCACTTTGCGTTTTTTTATGAAGTGAAATGAAATATTCTAATTATAAGGTCCGAATGTTAGACTCGGATCATTTTACAGCAACTTGCTCGTCTTTAGAGCAACGCAAAATAAACCTTTGAACCTGTTTTATTTGTTGCACTACAGGTGTACGTTGCGCCAAACACTTGGCTTTTATTTGGAGTATTTCTTTAGTTCTAAAACTGAGTTAAAGGTTCCGTACAACCCTAAGGCTGAATTGAATGAAGATATACGGGATGGAATGACAGATATGATTATAACAATTACTATGAACTCAAAGACAAGCTGTTATTAAATTCTAAATACTAACCATCTCATTGCACGTGAAATGGACGTAACATTTGGACAAATAGATGGCGCTTGAATTCCAATCCTCCACCGCAAACCTTCAAATTTCCTATTAAGATTATTTAGAGTTCACTGCGGCTTACAGTTGTAATAAATAAGCATATTTCAACAAAAACATTCGAGTAATCATTTTTGATCTGACAAAAACTGTATTCACGAGGTAAAGCCCAACATTTATAATAAAAAACTAGTGAATAAATTCGAAACATGCGGTATAAATCAGATTAAATTAAACCATGATAGTTTCGTTTCAAACATACTTTATGAGATTTGATTCATAAATGTTTCGCCGAAGGTATCATTTTTCACCAGTATGAGACTCGTTGACTCATTTACGGCATTAGATGGATTCTAAGGAATAAATCACGATCACCTTTAATAAACGTTTCAAAACAAAATTCGACTGATAAAAGAATCTCCGTCAATTTTATGCAGATTTCGACTTGGATTATATTGAGCGCAGACCATTATAAGTTATCTGAAAGTGAAATTTAGTCCGAGATATCTCGCTGTAGTACCATTAAAAATCATCGTTCTTTTATGATAACAATTATTTCGATGATTGTCGAATAAAATTTCATTTTGGAAGATGACAATACGGTCGCCTTAGAGTTTGTACCTTTGCTATTGTTAGGTTATTGTCGGTAAAATGTCTCCGTAGTTTATACCTATCAATTAGTGGCTAGTGATACCCATTCAGGTGGATTGAACTGACCGTCAAATTCTTAGCGTCTCACAAGCGTTCTTCAAACTACCGTAAGTAATTCATGAACTCAAAAGAATTCCATAACTCGGAGACAAATATGTCTGACATGTATCCTTAAAGGAAAGTTTACAAATAAAGAAAAAGCTTTGTCGTTGCACCGAAAATCTTATACCCGGTTCTTAGCCTCATTTATTTAATAATCTATATCATTGAATAATAGCTTAAATTATTTCAATTGTAGTTAAAAAATAATAAGACGATATAGACTCAAATTTCCCAATCAGTTCAGACAGTTGACAGAATATGGCATTATGTCAAACCAATCAGAAAAGTTAATTTGGAGATTTCAATTTCATTTATTTATAATTCATATATTTCCCAAAGGCTGTCTTGCTTCGCACTGATTACGGCTAATCTATCAATGTTTTCATATCGAGAAGCTGCATTGAGATTTGGCCTTGTAGGGGGTTTCAATGCTATCCTCCGATACGGGATAAAACCGATGAAATCTTACCGCGAGTTACGGATCAACGCTGGTTGGATTTTAATTTGTAAAATACCCTGTGTGCAGAGTCTAGTTAATCTAAGAAGACAAAGCTCTCTTTTAAGAAGCGAAGTCAAACGAATGCAAAGGGTATTTGTAAAATTAAACTCGAGGAAGATCTTATATTCAAAATTCACGGCCTTTTTGAGGTTTCCTAATAAGAACAACATCAAAAAACGGTTCTACTAAAAGATAAAAAATAAAATGTGTTGCTAATGTACCTAATGAAGTCGCCGTTTGGTTGCTTAATGCATCAATATCTTCTATAATGTGTCGTCTATATTGCGTATAATTAGCGAACGGAGATAAAATCTAGAAGTTTGTTATTTTAACCCCAAATATGCACCATTTCAAAATGAATTCAAACGATCAGACCCCATTTGTATATTCAGATGTTTCGAACCCAGAGCCTTCTCGAGCGACATCGAAATATTACATTTAATAAATAGGTTTTCTCTTGATTGATTTAAATTCACGATCTGATAAGCTAATCAAAGACAATTGTGATTAATTTCTGCAAAATCTTGACAACATTTAGATGAGCCTTACTGAGACGCAATTCTGTTCGTTGGGTGAATTTCAGCAACTATCCCGTATCA